ACCCATAAAAATTGAAAACGTGTGTGCACCAACACACCCAAAATTCCAGCCACAATTTTGGGGTGGGGGAATTCTGGGAGTTGAAGTCCAACCCGTCTTAAAGTTAAGGAGGTTGAGAAACTGTCATCGACCCACGAAACTGTCATCGACCCACGAATCTCTGAACATTGTCCTCAATTGCCTGTCTGGTAACCCAGCACGCTCAGAACTTAGGGAAACATCTTTTTCCAGGTTGGGGCTTCCGTGTCTTAATCCTGCAGTGTTTTATTCTCAAGAAAAAAGGCTATTTTTCCCAACTGTCCTTTTGCTTGTTCCGAAGATTTTGGACACCAGCTTTCTTTCACTTTCTTCCCAGCATTTTATAGTGTAAATCTACACAGGGAGTCCTCATTTAGCCACCACAATGGGGACCAGCAAACTCAGCCGTTCAGCAAAGCGGTCACCAAGGGAAACTGCGACTGTGCTTATGATCTGACTTCAGCGTTCCTGTGCTTCACAGACCTGCAAAGGTCGTAAATGCGAGGACTGGTCGTAAAGTTACTCTTTCATCACCGTCATAACTGCGAACAGTCGCTAAACAGGGTAGTCGCTAAACGAGGACTACCTGTACTGCTCCTAGCCATCAAGGTTTTATTTAATATCATGATTAAAAGAAAAAAGCAAAGCAAAACAATATTATACTGTACAGATTGATTCTCCATAATCTATCCTGTCTGAGATTGCAAGGTTGTTCCAATCATGCATTTCCAAGCAAGAAAAATCTCCAGTTCAAACCACATCTTGCTCAACTTCTCCAGGGGCCTTAAGCAAGCGATCCAACTGTTGACCTGATTTATGGGGCTGGGGATGAATAACGCCAGCCCCCGGGGTTTGCAAATGACCTGAAGGCCACTGAAGGCCACTGTTTTTTTATTTACAAAAACTCTGGATCCATCCCAAAGCCATTTCAACACTTCCAACCCAAAAGTTTTTAATCTGACCCAAAGGAAAAATGATGAAGTATGCAGAGAGCAAGCCAACGAACTATACTTAATATCCTTTATTTCAAATGAAACGGAAACGTCACTAGAATCAAATCAAATCCAAACTGAGCTTTTGGCCAGCCCCAACTTCCTTTTTGGCCTGCAGCCAACAGCACGCCATTACAAGGCCAGCAAAGTCTGCCCTGGGCTTTCCCCGCCTGTGAACCGGCCCTCTATGACCATTCCACAAACCGCCGTTCCAACAAACCACAACTCAGCCCTGGAGAAAAAAGGCTACAACTCCATCTAAAAGCTTCCCCCTTCTGGAATTTCTAACTCAGTTTCCCAGAGGGATGGTCATGTAGCCTCACCATCACCTGCAGTCTTTCTAAGGTAAGCCCAATAAAATGTGACATTGGGAACTTGGAATCATGCTTGCTTTTATTTCATTTTTATTTTGGGGGTGTGGGACGGAAGAAGAAGAAAACCCAAGGAGCTCGTTACACTTGGCTGGAATGAGTTGATCTGGTGGAGATTTTGGGTCCTGGTTGCCCAACATTCCTTCCTTTTCTCCCCACCCCACCCTTTGAAATAATTAGACCAGGCGAGGTCAGCTGGGGTAACTAAGTTGACGTGCCGGTTGCCGAGATCCATCATTGCTAGCTAGAGAGCAGAAAAGGCAAGGGGCCAAGTTGTTGCTAAACCCGCCAGCAAAGCACATGAGGGGACAGGTGTAGATGCAAAACACAGCAAGGAACAGGCGGTGCAGGGGGAGGGCGGGAGAGAAAAGGAAGACTCACTTTGGCACGAGCATCTTGTTTTTCTCATAGAAGAGACGCAGGTCTTGAGGACTGCTTGCCTGCAAAGGGGGAGAAAGGAGAGGATCAGCAAAGTTGGACGTCAACCCACCGCTGGGTTGCAACAACGGGCTTTGAGCACAGATGCTTTGGCAGCCAAAGACAGCCCCGACCACCCTGGGTGCCCCTCCCCAGGGTTTGGGGAATGCCCACAGAGGGATTGTGGGGGAGTGAAACAGGGTGATGGTGGGCATCTACCCTTGCCCCATGTTCTTGGCATCGGTGCGTTGGGTCTCCACCCAATCCTGAGCGCTGGTTGAGGGGGAACAAAACAGCGTGCCTTGGAAAAGGCTATCTGTTTGTAAAAAACACTGCTGGTAATATTTAATATCATATTTAATGTAAATGACCACTGATGGTAATATTTAATGTCATGCAGGTAGTCCCCGGGTTAAGAATGCCTGGGTTACAGACAACTCATAGTTAAGAACAGAGCCTATTGTAGCAAAATTTGAGTTAAATACACAGTGATTTGACTTAAACACACAATGGTTCGAGTTCATTACCCAATACTACTTATACAGTATTATACAACAATACTGTTCCAACTTACGTACAAATTTGACTTAAGGACAGACCTTGGGAACGGAACTCGTTCTTAAACTGGGCAACTGTATTTGGAAGTGCTCCTGCATTTCCCAAAGCCCTCTGCCAAACTGAATTCAAAGGGGGAAAGCCCTATTAATAGATTACTCTCTAGTCCTTATCATTTTTGGGTTTTTGGTGCCTTTGAGCCAGTGTTGACTCCTGGTGACTGGCTGGACAAGTCCCTGCAGCTTTCTTGGGAAGATTTTCAGAAGTGGTTTGCCCTGGCCTGCTTCTTCCTAGGACTGAGAGGGAGGGACTGGCCCAAGGTCACCCAGCTGGTTTCATGCCTGGTGCCTTCACCACTGCACCAAACTGACTCTCACAGTCCTTATAATATTAATAACAGATTTTATTATAGCCATTGGCCAACCAATAGTGCTTATAATAGATTCTTCTCTAGTCTGCTGGCCCTCAGCGTGGAGCTTGGAACTTACAGATGCAATTCACCTCTCTTGAGCTACGTTTTGAGAAAAGATCAAGACAGATGCCAAAACAAGCCTGTTATCATCTTAATAGCTGTGTTTATTTTGCACAGGCATGTGCCCTGCCTTTTTAGCTACGTGTGCAGCGTTGGCAACTCTTTTAAAAATAAAAAAAGCCGCTCGCAACACAAGAAGAGGGAGGGGAGGGTGGAATGATCCACTGGGACCATGCTGAACGCTGCGGGTGGGGTGAGTGCGTGTCTCCCCTCCTCCTTTGGCATTGAAGGAAAATGGGTCAAAGAACAGATGCCAGAAGGTCCAGCGTCTCTCACCTCTTTGGGAAGGCTGCATCAGATCGGCTCTCCTTCAGCTATGCCATCTGGAATCTGTTCCCCAAGTAAAGGGACAGAAAAAGCAGGTGGCCACAGAGAGCATTAAAAACTGCTTACGGAGCAGGTGGAGAAACCCAGCCAAGAAAGCAAAAGGAGAGGCAGGAACTAATCCAAAGCCTAGACCAGTGTTTTTCAAACTTGGCAACTTTAAGATGTGTGGACTTCAACTTCCAGAATTCTAGAAGTTGAGGTCCATCCATGCTGGCTGGGGAAATCTAGGAGTTGAGGTCCACCCATGCTGGTTGGGAAACTCTGGAAGTTGAAGTCCACCCATGCTAGCTAGGGAATCCTTGGAGTTGAAGCCCCCACATCTTAAAGCTGCCAAGTTTGAAAAAACACTGGTCCAGAAGCTCCTCAAACACAGGAAGAAGCCTCTCCAAGTGCAAACTTTTGCCTCTGGGCTCTACCGCTATATCTCAAGAAGGCAAACCAGGCTTAGCACTAACCTTCAACCTGTCATTTGAGAACTCAGGTTTTGCACCAGGTTTACACATCCCGCTGGGCTATCTGGTGCACCAACAGCCAGTGCAGCTTGTGTAACACAATGTAGGCAGCCAACCGGTTGTAGTTTACTCACAAACCAGGGCAAACCAGGCTCTGGTTTTCATTTGGCCAAATCTGCAATCTGCACAACTGAGATGTGGAGAGCATGCCAGGAAGACACACTCCAACATGGCTGTTATTGGGGCTGATGCAGTCACAAAATATCCACGTATCAGAAAGGAAGTTGAAGAGATTGCCTCTCCAATGGCTGTAATAAAATCTGTTATTAATATTATAAGGACTGTGAGAACCAGTTTGGTGCAGTGGTGAAGGCACCAGCGCGTGGTTCCCATAACTCTCCATGATCCTTGGGTGAAGAGATTCTTTCCATCACATGATCATGAATCATAAATTACACCCACCCATCATAGTTCGGCTAGGTTGGGGTGAACACAGTGCTTGTAGACCATGGATGATCATTTCACACAGCAGACAAACCCAGCTTTTGTTGGTGTACTTTGTCTGAAACAGTGATAATAAATTACACAGACAGGATGAAGAAGTGTAGCACTACTGTTTCTGAAACCGTGAACCCTGGGGAACCACAGAGCAAATCACTCTCTTCGCTCATCTAACCTTCCTCATTCCGATGGCTTGGATGGTCCCAGGATTTCTGAGCGACCTTTGGCCAAGCTGGTGGAGGTTTCCAAGAACTCCAATTCCAGCACATCTGGAGAGCAGCCAGGTTGGACAGAGGCAGCTAGAACATTTACAACGTCTCCCTCTTCTGCCAGACCCAAAATATATACTCCAGTTGGCCATGCAGAACTGCTGAACCAGCAGCATAAAGAGCACCGGTGAGCAAAACACAGGAAACACGTGGCTTCCACAGACGTGGATAGATGAAAAAAAAAAAAAAGGCATAGATGTGTTTACAGTTGGCTTTTTACATGATGAAACGTTGAGGTTCACAGACGTGGATAGATGAAAAAAAAAAAAAAGGCATAGATGTGTTTACAGTTGGCTTTTTACATGATGAAACGTTGAGGTTCACAGACGTGGATAGATGAAAAAAAAAAAAAAGGCATAGATGTGTTTACAGTTGGCTTTTTACATGATGAAACGTTGAGGTTCCTCTCCTACAGGCTGGACTTGAAATAAGGACCCAGGCACCCAAGATTCCAGAATTTCAGATCAGCAGATTTTATGGTAGAAAAGCCATAAAACCATTATGAAAAATGTCAACAGCTGCTGAGTATCAAATGTGAGTTCTATTTATAATAATCGCCATTCAATTCTCTGAGGTCTTTTTCCCCTGTCTGGTCTAAGTCGTGAGGGTTTGGGCTTCGTGCACAGCTTGTAAACCATGGTTTTGTTATTCGTTAGATAGTTTTCAGAGCCCATCCAACTCAAAAGACTCATGGGGAAGGAGTGGGGGGGAGAGTTACAACACCCTAACACTATAAAAGCAACAAGAATTAATCCGAACGATGAAGAACAACCAAAATAATCAATCAACTCCAAGGCAGATGCCAAGAGAAATTAGCAAGGGTTGAAGTCCTGGTGAAATAAAACTCTCTTTAAAGATCGTCTAAAAACCATCAGGGAGGGAGCTTTATGATCCTTTGGGAATCAAGAGTGCCAAAGGGTAGGGACTACCACAGAAGAGGCCTGTGGTCTCATCCAGGCATCATGGTTTATTCAACAAGCCATGGCTTTGATACCCAAGCCATTGAAACCAAATCACATGGCTAGAATGTCGAAGCACCACTGCCATGGTGACTCTTTGTAGTAGAAAGCCCTTGCTTGGTCTTTCTAAAGCAGTGTTTCTCAACCTTAGCAATTTGAAGATGTATGGACTTCAACTCCCAGAATTCCCCAGAATGCTGGCTGGGGAATTCTGGGAGTTGAAGTCCACACGTCTTCAAGTTGTTGCTGTTTCTTTAGAACAGTGTTCCTCAACCTTGGCAACTTTAAGGCTGGCTGGGGAATTCTGGGAGTTGAAGTCCACACGTCTTCAAGTTGTTGCTGTTTCTTTAGAACAGTGTTCCTCAACCTTGGCAACTTTAAGGCTGGCTGGGGAATTCTGGGAGTTGAAGTCCACACGTCTTCAAGTTGCCAAGGTTGAGAAACACTGTTCTAAAGAAACAGCAACCTACTTTACTCATAAGTAGCAGAATACTTCTTTGAGAAGGTCCCCTCCTGTATTCCTCCCATGAGATGGTTTGGCCCTAGAAGGGGTGGAGGTGAGGGACAATTGGGAAGGGAACAATGAAGACCATCAGTGGTTGGGACACTCGGAAAGGTTCTCTCAAAATAATTCTTTCAAAACGGAGCGCCAAAGATTGTAAAAAGACAGAGAGACCAAAACCAACAGTTCCCACAAACCCGGACAGAAAATGAAACTCCAGCAAGTTTATAACTCATATATGCTGAAGGGGGAAAGCAGTTGCCAGCCCCTCCTTGATTACAATCGTGACGTTCTAGTACAATGGTATTTTGGCCCTTCTGCAAACTGGTTTTGTTTTGCTATGTTAAAATGGACTTTTATGGAGTGCATGCGTGCACTGGTTCCACTGGTTCCATGACACATGCACTGGGGAACTCACAGTACCATTGAAAAAAGAAAAATTATTAAAATTATTAAAATTACTGCACCCTTTAGGAACAAGATGCTCCATTCCCTGCCTTCTCAACAACTTTATGCAAACTTTTATTTGCTTTTAGTGTCCTGAAACTACCCATTCTTTCAAAAGCCCTCCAGTGCACACCCCATTTACATAACATTAAATGCCTGGAGGTAATACATGCAAATCTGACTATTTTGAATTTCCTCCCTCTTTTCCCAGGACAGTGTTTGAGATCTTTAGCCCAGCTGGCTGCAGGGCACCCATTTCTGCATTTTGATAGCTTTCTAAAACTCACCTTTTTATCTAATCAGCATTCCCTCTCCATTCACCTAGCTCTACTCAACAAAAATGGATAAGATTATTAGCCCATGGCCTTTGGCATTTTTACCTACACCACCTGCAGGAGCCAAAGTCAAGCACAAGCTGATTAAACATGGTTGGCCTCGATTGGTACTTGGAAAGAAGAACACCAGAAAAAACTCAGGGCCATCCCCCAAAAGTCACAGGAGAGGTCAACAATAACCACTTTATACTGCTCGAAGAAAACTAGATGAACACGTCCATGAAGACCCAAGGAGATAACTTGATTCAAAGGAGATTTTACCTTTGAGGTCAAGGAAGAATATAAGTGTCATCAAGACAGGTTACGTTAATGATGAATTCATCCTCTACTAATCGTAACCCTAAGAAGATACTAAGTAAACCTGGAGCTTGTCCAAATGCTCAGAGGGGTTCACATACACAGCTGCTGGGTGTGCACGTGACAAGCAACAACTAGAGAGGTCACAGTTCTAGCTGCATCTAAGGATGGCCACTGGAGATTTCAAACACTGCACTAAAACAGGTCAGTTGGCCATGAAGACAGAGGTGCCCAATATTAAACCACAATTCGATGAACTGACACCATATGCTAAGCCATCAACCAGGATTTCCTAAAACTGCAGAACCTAAGAGTTGGAAGGGAGATTGGCAGTCCTTTAACCCAACCCCCTGTGCAGTATAGAAATGCACTACAGTATTACAATACCTTCAAGAGTCACCCATCCTATTTAACATCTCCAACGAAGGCTACGTTGCTTGTTTCTTGTCCTAAGATGGAACAACTCTGAATAATTCTGCCTCATCTCCACGACAGCCCTTCAGATACTTGAAGACAGCTATTGTGAATCCCCAAAGTCTTCTCTACTTCACGCTCAACAGAGCCAATGCTCCTGACTGCCCCTTATCAGATTTTCCTTCCAGCCTCTTATCATCTTGGTTGTCCTAAAAGGCCAATTTAACCCAAAAACGTATATGTGCTTAGCCAAAATGGGAAGACAACAAAGATGGTGGAGGGATGAGGTCAAAGTAATTCTTGGAATGTCCTTGGAAACGCTACATGTTACAACCAGGGCTAGGTCCAGATGGTGAACATCTGGCCATGCAATCAGGAGGCATCAGAAACAGGTAACAAGACTTAAAGGAAGAACTGGAGCCGCTTCACAACGAATTTGGTTCTCTCACTTCTATAAATTGGATCAGAAACTTCCAGGAATAAACAGAGCCGTGACTTTTAACGCAGTTGAGTTGATAAAAGGGTCTTGGAGCAGAACAGACTAGAAACAGTTGAAATATTTACACAAAAACACACTCGACTGGTTCTTCCTTGGAATATTTATTCAGGAAGACCTTTAAAGACCTTTGGTTATCTCCAGCAGGGACCAGGCCGCCTCCAGACCCTCTGGCTACTAAAAATCACAACAAGAAAACATTTGCTTAATCTCCTACCAAAATTCTCTTCCTCTTCCTGCAGCCAAAGATATAAAGAAGAACCTACGAAAGGAATGTAGGCACTAAAAGGAGAAGTTAGGAAGTGCTAAAACTTTCACATTTTAAGAGGCAAATCCTTAGCCACCCAGAGAGAGCTATCTTCACAGCTCAGCCCTTGGTCACAGAGACCCTATTGTCTTCTCCAAGGTTAAGACAGACAATACCTTCCATCTTATCCATTCAAATGCACTCATTTTGCCTTCTTCCTTTACCTCTGTTGGAGAGGTCATCCCTATTCGCCAAAAGATCCCTTCCATTGTGCAGAATGGATCACCTGGTGTCCTACTTTTTATCTCTGTTCTGTTGGTGTTACTTACACAAAAAGGTTAAAGTTGGAACAGCCAAAGGCTATTCCCTTTAGGACTGTCTACGCTAAACCATTATTATTGTTTCCAGCAGCCCTGAAAAGCTGTGTGCCTTTTGAGAGATATAAATAGGTACAGATCATGTAAATTCTTGCCTGTTGTTCAACTCTCTCTCTTTCTTCCTCCTCTTACCTGTTGTTCTCTCCTTTTTGCCAGTTAAATGTTTTGAATGTGTGCTTATATTTAAGAAATAATCATTAAGCTCTATTTTTTTGGCTGGCTGAACTGAGTGGTGTGTGTGCGCTTGCTTGCATCTCAGCTCAAATGCATCCTCAACCGGCATCTTGCTTTAAATTAGTGTTTTTCAAACTTGGCGACTTTAAGACATGTGGACTTCAACTCCCAGAGTTCCCCAGCCAGCATGCCAGCTGAGGAATCCTGGGAGTTGAAGTCCACACGTCTTAAAGTCGCCAAGTTTGAAAAACACTGCTTTAAATGCTGAATTCCTTCTGCAAACAATAGCATATGTTCCCACCTCACTTTACGTTCATCAGCCAGTTTCCTAGAATCTGGTTAGTCCTGGATCAATTATGTCTCTGGGAATTCTGGGAGTTCAAGTCTGCACATCCTAAAGTCGCCAAGTTTGAAAAACCCTGATTAAAATCAATCCGGTGTCCATCAGAAGTCAAAATTCAATGTAGCCTGGAAACTGTTTTTAAGTAGAGGCAACAGCAACCTACTTAAGAAACGCCAGAAGTCACTTGAGAAATTGACAGCTACGAACTTTTCAGCTTACCTGAAAAGGGGCTTTTCCCGTCAGACACTGGTAGATAATCGTTCCAATACTCCACAGATCAGCTTTGGCATCGTAATGTTGAGACATAATCACTTCTGGGGCCTACAGTGGGGCAGAAAACACATTTGGGGGTTGAATGCCTCTGATCCCTTATCTTTATGGCTCTCCCCACTTCTAAAAGGGTCTGACATGCTTGCAAGTAACCTTAAACACCCCACGCCCTCCCAGCACAAGATTTGAGAAAGCCGATGGGTTGAAGCTTCTTTGCAAATTAAAACTGGGTAAGAATGAAAGCGAAGAGAAGGCTATGTGATAATCTGGTCAGAGTCCACCTTAATGAGGAAAAAATAGCCCATCATTCATCCTTGCAAAAAAAAAATATCAGCCATTCTTCCTTATCCCTTGATCTGCTAAAGCCGAAAAAGAGAGATTCAGCGTTCTCCTTACACAGCTCAACAGCCTTGTTTTTATTTTATCGGCCAACTGAGTCATTGACTTCAAGCCAACACCGGAGAATCACGCCAGCACCTTTGTACCAAAATAAAAGTGAAGCGTGCAGGCGACGATTTCAAGCAGCCTGGTTTGCCAGCTGCCCCACGCATTAAAACAGCAAGATGGAACCAGGACCTTTGTTGCCAAAATATGAACCGAAACCCGTAACCAGCAGCACTCAAAAGCAAAGACTTGTTTGCTCTTCTGGCCCCAGCATTTCAACTTTTTGGACAAGGAGCCCCTCCCTGCTCCTTTTCCAACAACAAGCCTGCGAGGTAGGTTAAGCTGACTCACCGGGGAAGAAGGAGGATGGCTGAGCTCCTTCACTAGAAGGCTTTGAACAGAGGCTGTGAAGGGACAGCCTTCAGAGAGGCTGAGTGCAGTGTTTCTCAACCTTGGCAACTTGATGCTGTATGGACTTCAACTCCCAGAATTCCCCAGACAGCATGCTGTCTGGGGAATTCTGGGA